GTCTGCCGGAGTGAGTCGAGTCGCATCAGAGGCAATGTGAATTTCTTTACTAATGAGTAAGGAGTACAGTTGGTCGAGATTGAGAGGTTGTGTCATGGTGCGTATGAAAGTTTTGAAAGATTGATACGGATTGGGAAGGCCATTGAGGATATAGAGGATGATATCTTCCAAGACTATTTGAGCTCTTGCAGTAGCGATTTGGTCGATAAGGGATTTTATTTCATTTAGATATTGAAGCATAGTCATGTTTTTGAGCGAAATATGGTGACGTTCGTTTTTAAGTTGAATGACCTTGGATCGATTTGTAGATTGAAACTTGGTTTGAAGGGTTGTCCAAATGGCTGAGGTAGATTCAAGATTTAGAATGTAGAGGAGAATGGAGACAGAAATCGTGGAGCATATAGCAGCCGCTAGGTTTTGATCATTAATAATCCATTGGGAATAGCAGGGATTATGAGCAGTTATGCCATCTGTGAGGGGAGTAAGCTTGTCGGGAATGGGATGTTGGGGATCAAGAAAATATTCGAATCCATTCGCACGACAGATCTTAAGGATCTGAGAGCGCCAAAGCGAGTAATTATCTGGAGAGAGGATTTTGCAAAAGTTTCTTGAGATTGGAAAGAATGAATTTGAGAGATGACGAGATGACCGGAGTTGCCGAGGTTGTAATCTCCGGTTGTTCGTCGACTTGAGAGGTTGTAGAAGTCTCCATTTGGCCCGTGGATTTTCAATCCTTGTCTGATACCATGTAGAACGACATATTCTAGCAAGAATAGCTGGAGCTCCAAGAAATGAGAGAAGAGAAAGGATGGAGAAAACATAGAGAAGTGTTATTGATTTTCTTGATCACTCACCTGGTACATACAACATATATATATAGAGCCTAATGGAAAAGCCACACAGGCGGCTACACAAGAAAGCTATACAGTATGTTGTTACATTGTTTTATTCTTGTGCTCTAATATTTCTCTCTTCACTTAAAAGGATTATTATCTCTCTCTCACTTCACTTAATTAAATGATACTTTAAATGAATTGTCAATCATCTTATTTGATCTTTAAATTCTATATCATTATGTTGAGTTGTGAGGGCATGTTTATTAAGGCTTCGTTTGGAATTCTGTTTTATAAAGCAGTATGAAAGCTATCTCAAACGAAACCTAAGAGTATTCTCTCCAACTTCGGGTCTTTCATTGAGCATATTCACAGCCTCCTCTGCCCTAATTTATTGTTATCACCAAACTTCTCCAAAATCATATTTTCAAATTCAAAATCAAAATTAATAATATATAGTTCATGCATTTAATTCAAAATCATTTGAAAAATCCACGCATCTAAAAGTATAGCATCTTCTCATGAAATTATAGAATAAATAATTTTCTTAAAAACTAAAATTTTGGAGATAATGAGAGAAAAATTTTTAAAGGGTATTTACATATATATCATAATTTTTTTATATATTTATATATTTAACATCTAAATTTTTATATTTAATTATATAACAATTAAATATCTAAATCATATTGAAAAACTGCTAATATTAACTTATTTAAAATAAACATATTTTTTCATCTACATTATTTGATGTGTTTTAGACATTAAAATGATGTATAAGTAAATACAAATATTTAGCTGTTAGATATATAAATTAAATAAATAATTTATGATAAATGCATATACAAATCTATTCTTTTATTTGCTTATTTATGAGTCAAAGCCAAATAGAAATTGAGCTCACTCAAACTTAGGCTTCGTTTGGGCAGCTCTTTTACTGCTTTATAAAGCAGCTTTTAGTACAAATTTTTTTTGAGCTATATATTTTTATACTGAAAAATTGCTTTATAAAGCAGTAATAAATATATCTAAAATCAAGCTTTAGTCTTCCGCACTCTACTTGGTATATCTCTTTAGCAAAAAAGCAAGATAAGGGATGGCTCATCCTCATAAAAAATATTTTTTACCATCTATAAACAATCAAATACGTGTGAAAACCAGCTTAAGTGGAGGCTTCTTGCTTTAGAGAGAGGATTATTCAAAGCTAATTAGTGTTAACTTCTTAATCATTTTATAATTTCCTTCCACTAATTTCTTGATTTATAATTAACAAGCAATAAATAAAATTATGGCAAACTTTAGATTGGGGGCTAAAAATTCATTCAAAGAGATGGAGGAGAATATTAAAGTAAGATGAATGGTTAGATTTCAGGTTTTAAAGCACCCGAAGGAATCACTTCTGCATAAAGTTTTTCCTGCATTGTTTCAGTTGTCTAAGGATTCAGATTGCTTTGTTGCTTGCCAAATATGAAAGAGGACGTTGGAAATTTAAATTCAATAGTCATATGTTATGAGATAATATGAGAAATCTCCCCCTTAAAAAGACAATTTGGCCCTTCAAAAATGTATGTTTACATTAGTACTTTTCCTTAGAGAGGCAAGGAAATGAACAACTTTCTAAAAATTTCAGAGTAAGAGGGAGAAATTGTTTGAATGCTTTCATAAGCACTAGTTGATGACAAGTGACATAAGATCCAAAATCCAACTAGAGAGAAATAGGAAATTATTCTATGCGGACGCCGAATATAGAGCCCCATTCGGATTTGCTGCAACAAATACGCAGTAAATACTCAGTTGTGAGTATTTGCTGAGTATTTAGTGAGTATTTAATGATTTTTAGCTGAGTATTTGATGATTTTTAATTACGTATTTGCTGATTTTTATGATCCTCTGAATTCGGAGTCCGCACAGAATAAATTCTCAGAGAGAAACTGTATCAGCACCTATCTAAAGAACATGAAATTCACTCCTCTTTAGTTGTTTCTATCAACTTATAAACATTTCTTAGTGGCAGCTTAGTTTCACTTCACAGATATTGGTTGATTGGAGTCTGAACAACTAGTGGGGAAGAAAAGGTGGGCTTTGGCTTGATCCCTTCAAAAGGAGGATAACAAAGAAGTTTTTTCAGCCTTTTCAGATTCCTGGGCGGTGGTGCTTTAATTTTTTTGTATTTTTTTAGTAGAAATTGCAAGATGAGGCAGATACGCTTTCATAGCTTTCATGAAACTTTTTAAGTAAACTTTCAAATTTCTTCTCGCTTTACTATTTTGCAAGGTACTTCTGATATTAAGTAGAACTATGTTTCCATATTCAGGACTCATTTTGTTTTGTTTTTATTTGATTTTTGTAGGAAAGTTCCTGTAAAGCAGCCGAGTGCGGTTTGGATAGAAAGTTCTGTATAGTTTTGTTTCCAAAATTTTGTTTTATGGACAATAGAAAAGTTGATTCTCAAACAATTATAGGGTAGATTATGAAGGAAAAGAAACCGCTTTACTTTGGCTTCGTTTGGGATGATTTTTCTTCTGATATTAAGTAGAACTATGTTTCCTTATTCAGGACTCATTTTATTTTGTTTTTGTTTGATTTTTGTAGGATAAGTTCCTGTAAAGCAGCCGAGTGCGGTTTGGATAGAAAGTTCTGTATAGTTTTGTTTCCAAAATTTTGTTTTATGGACAATAGAAAAGTTGATTCTCAAACAATTATAGGGTAGATTATGAAGGAAAAGAAACCACTTTACTTTGGCTTCGTTTGGGATGATTTTTATACTGTTTCTTAAAGCAATTTTCTAGTAGAAAAATTTTAATTTATGTACTAAAAAGCTGCATTAAGAAGCAGTAAAAAAGCCGCCCCAAACGAAGCTTTTATGACGACCAAATACGACATTAAATGAAGCCATTGGGTTTATTTGATTGACTTATTTTTGTATTGAGTTTTTGGCCATAATTTCTTAAATCAATTTTGGCTTTTGCTTGGGACAATTTTTTTATTGCTTTGTTTTTCAAATTGCAACCGTATTTTTTTATTTGGCTATTATTTTTTGCTGTTTTTAAGAAGTTTTTGTGCTATGAAGCTGCTTTTTATAGCAACTTTCAAAAAAAATATTTCCCCCTAACAGATGTACGACCACCTTAACAAAAAGCTAAAATCATCTCAAATAGATCCTTTATATGGCAAAAAATTTATCCTACTTAAGGAGAATAACTTCTTAATTCCTACGAAATTTAAAAAAAAAATCATATATTTTTTGTTAGCAAATGAGGCTTGGTATTTAGATCAAATCAAATAGTTAAAATTTTTGAAAATATGATAATGTATGAATATCAGATGGTTGACCATTATGAACTTCAGTTTTTTTTTGCCCCTGAAAAGTCAGTTTCATCGACCATATATTTGACCAAAGTTTAATCATTTTTTATTTCATTCTAACCAGTAAAGGGTATGAGGACCCATGATTTGGCTGGGACCAAATGGTTCAAGCAGTTTATGGTTCTTAGAGTCTCGTCACCTTCTATCCTAGCTAAGAAAAGTTATCTACAGCCGAACTCCAAATGACTGTAAGACGTAGCTGATTTTCTCCATTCGAACGGCAAAAAAAATCATTAATCCGTGGAGGGTGAACAGTGCGACTTCAATATTGACAAAATGGAGTTTGATTGAAGATAATCACGACATTTCTCAGTTTCACTGTATTTTGAAGTGAAAAATGGGATTTTCTGTTGGAGATGAGATGCCCTTAGAGAGCAGGTGATTTTCAAATATATCTGCATGACTGAGTGAGCTTTCTTATTGCAGGATACTACTGATACTTCTATTTGAGAGAGATTGATGATGAAATGGAGTGATTTCATGTAACGAGGAGATTATTATGACCATTGAAATTTTGTTTTAGTTCCACATCATATTGTTAAAAAAAAATTTATTTAGAAAAAAAATGGTTGACTTTTACCTATAAACTCTAATTTCCAGCTTAAAAATGAATTTAATCTTTTATATTTGCCAACTGAATTTAATCACATTCTCTTAACATATTATTCCATCCAGAAAAAATTTCTGTCAGCTACACTGTCACCACAAAAGCAAAAACAAACGCGTTAGGAATTGTTTAATTGGGTTTCTTTTTATAAATAATGATTAACTTTATTCTAAAGTAGCTTTTTTGAAGAGAAATTTCTTGAAAAGCATCTTATCTTCTGTGGTGCTGTAGGAAAAGTGCTGTAGGAAAAGTACTGTGAAACACCTATGAAATTTTCAGAAAGGATGGTTCAAAGTTCCTTTGTTACATCAGATACAGATAAATAAGCCTACAAAACTCATATAAATTAGAAAAAACTAACACTCAAATAGCAGAAAATTTAAACCTTCTTCATATAATTCAAGCTACATCCTCTTAAGAAGACACAGATCATCAGACACCACTTGCAAAGTCTGATCATGGCTTCTCCAAGAACAAGCTTAGAAGGGGCTGCCTGAGAAAGCTTTATTTATCATCTTATGTAAGTTCTATTAGTTCCTGAGTGCAATCAGTAAAAAGAGCCGCCTCAGAAACTCACCATTTACTCATCCAACCATAAACTTCTGCAGCACAATTCAAAATTTCTCCACCATATTTTAAGGTATATAATCCTTCAAATCACGAACATTGAGCCATCTTCTTGTGACCATAAGTTCTGTTCATCGCCGCTTGCTTGACGACATAACGGTTCAATTATTCCTGCAATCCAGTTATTCAATTAAAATTAGTGATTTCCAAATGAAGTCTTATTAATTAATTACAGTTCTTCTTTTTGTGAAATGCAAATCCATATTCTTAAGAGTTCTTCAAAGTTTTAACTACCATTGCTTCTTGTAAGAAAGGAATTATCTGCAACCCAGTCAAGGCTCTGCAATGGCAAGCTTTCTTCGTTGTAGTAAATGCTCATGGAGTGCAGTGGGCTTGGGCAGATCGAAGATAAACAGTTTCTGTCGATCTGTTCAACTGAAAAGGCTTCATCTGTGAGGCTTGAGAAGGATGAAACTGGAGAAATGCCATTAGTTAGGCATGATTCTGTGGAAAAAGGAAACTGAACTGGGAAAAATTGCTCAGATATGTCCTCTTCTATAGTAAAGCCCTGAAATCCATATAAATACAGCAAAAACTTGTCAATTACAGTGCATCTTGATGCAAGCTCTAGATATTTTGATATATATGGCTATTATTAGATGAATTATCTTATATGAAAGTTGTTGAATCTGAATTTCTTTCTGTGCGACTCCTTGAAAGAGAGGAGAAAGAAGCCTAGTTTATCCTCAGACCCCTTATTTATAGGAAAAATTATTCTATGTGAAAGCAGAACTCGTTCGGATGCCTAAGCCCGCAGCTCAATACGGCGGTACCGCGGCTCGGTATGGTTGACGTGTCTTATTCTGATTGGTATCCGGATGTACAGCTACGTTCAACATCCGCACAGAATAATCTCTCTATTTATAGGCGAAGATTGAAGCAAGATATTACAGAAAAGTTACGTTAAAGATAAATCCATAAATTATAGAATACGACCTCGTGAAAACTTGTCATAAACTAATTGACCCCTAAGACTAACCTCTTTTAGTTGGTTCAATAATCTAGGACTCGGTCAAAATAGTATTAGAAGTACACAAGCGGAACAATATTCGACAAAAAAATCAGTGTCAATCAAATTGACTATGGTAGAAGCAATATTATATTAAAATGGTTAAAATGCAAATGCTCATTTCTTTTTTGGCGTGTTCACCAAAATTTCATGAATCTTACCGTAGAGACATCTGAAAGAACAAGCGGCGATTGGTCAGAAGCGTCCACCATAGCTGAGGCTAGCTCAAACTGTGTTTCTTTGAAAAAATTTGAATGAAATGGACCGTTGCTCACATCTAAGAGGCTTACCACTTGGGAGGAACTTCCTTCCAAGCTACTACTAGGGACCTTACTATTGTATTTCCTCTTACTGGTTTCTCTTGCCACAGAGGGTGGAACCCTCTTAAATTTAGCCTCTCCTTGATGCAAATGCTCATTTCTTTTCACTACACGGCACAGTGCATAACCTCCCTGCAGAAAAATAAGGAAAAGTTTTGAACTTAAACTTTTGAAATATAGCAATCTTGTTAATTAGTACAGAAATTGAAATTGTACCAAGAAAGAAATATTTCCTTGAGGAAGATGTTCACAAAGACGATACTCATGCATTACCCAGTCAGTTCTTTCTCCTCCTGGAGCTCTTCCTCGGTAAAAAACCAGAGTTTTCCTCATTCCTTTAATGGAATTCTCGCAGGTGATTGTTCTATCTTTTCCAGTAGCTTTCCAATAACCTGAATTAGTTGCTCTATTGGTTCGAGATCCATTTGGATATTTTCGATCGCGTGGGCAGAAGAAGAACCATTCCATGTCTCTTTTTGGCAGGAATGATTTTTCTGCAAACATTATCAGAAAAGACTGAATGAAGAGCAAGAACACAAAGCATCATAAAGCTCATTGATATAGATGGAAAAAGTTCCCTCATTTTCTCTTTATTTTCTTCACATTAATCGATCTTTTTTTTTTCTAAGTATGATGAATTTCTCTGATGCAAATTTATGATTCTCAAACAGTAAATATATTTTTGCTTAAACAAAGAGCTGAAAAGCTATAATTTTTTACCTGGTAAATCCCATGGATCGAACTTATACAAGTCTACCACTGGAATTACTTCAAGCTCAATCTTTTGCGCATCCACTTTCCTCTTCAAGTAATATCCCACCAGTTCATCATCTGTGGGATGGAAGCGGAAACCAGGAGGCAAAGACATAGGACCCATTCTTCAAACAGATCTAAAGACAGTATAAATCTAGGGAAAATAGAGGTACAAAGGGGAGCAGAGCAGTGTTTACAGAGACAACAATTTAAATTAGCTTACAAAAGTTACAAAACAGATAATTTTTTTTAAAAAAAAATTATTTGCCGATACTATAACTGCTAAAGATTTGAAATATCCAAAAGTAGAAGCTTGTCTCAACTCGGAGCTTTTCTAGAATCAAGAAGAATTTCCAGAGGGCAACACTGTCGTGCAACAGAAGCATTATTCTCAGAACTTCAAAACCTTGAAGAGCAAAAAAAAGAACCCAAAATCTACAATCTATGGAGATTTTGAGTGCAGGAAAACAATCAAAATTACATCTTTTGGTTAAAAAGATCTCAAAATTAGTCGGAATAACCAAGATGGTGCTGAGGAGCAAAGGAGATAGAGGTAGAGCTAACAGTTGAGGGCTTTTTATAGAGGAGGGAGACGTCAGCAGTAGCCGAAAGCCGCGTTTTGCTCTGAAGCGATCCCTCAAACAGTTAAACTTTTCAAAAGGGCAAATATAGTCGGAGAATTTCACACTACTGTTCTGCCACCAAATTTTAATTTCCGTTACGTGGATCAGAAAAAAATAGAAAACCTGTGTAAGCTGAGTATTATATATATATATATAACATTGGAGAGCAACTTTTTAAAGCTATACGATATTAGTACATCAGATTATAAAAAGATCTTTCTCATTATTACGGACTGTAATGTCTTTAACTTAAAAATGATGTGTGAAAGTCATAAGAGATACTAAGATTTGTACTTATAAAATCATAAAAAGGAAAAAACCACTAAATCTGGCACAGTGGAAATGATTCTTGTAGTCGATTATAAATGGTGCCCTTCCTCAAGGGAAAGGCCTTGGCTCATTGTATCATATATAGAACATTATATAGTAAGGGTTAGAAGAATCCAATGATAAGAGAGTCATTCTCAAGAGAAAGTTGGCATGTTCATTTGGTTAGCAGGACAACGGAGGTTGGAGGGATTAATAGGCGTGCGATGAAGATCGTAGGGATCGTAGTAAGCGGGCGACGGTGGTCGAAGAGACCGTAGTCGGCGGCCAATGGAGGTCGAACGTCGAAGGGATCGTAATCAGCGGGCTACGGTGTTTGGAGGGATCATAGTTGGCGGGTTATGGAGGTCAGAGGGACCGTAGTCGACGGGCGACGATGGTCGGAGGGATCGTAGTCGGTGAACAACAGTGGCAGGGGCAGAACCAGGTTCAATTTTGAGAGGGGACAAATACAACATAAAAATAATTAAATATAAAAAAAATAATATTATATGTCTATATGTTACGAAATTTTTTTTAAAAAAAATTAAACAAGAAAAATAAAGAAAATAAAATTGTAATTAAACTGTCATGAAAAGCATGAAAGAGAATATTAGAACTAAATGTGAAGAAATATATAAATATTTTAGGGCAAATTAGAACAAAAGAGTTTTTTTAGGGGGGGCAAAACAAAATTTTAGGAGGGGCAAAAAATTTTTTTACTCTCTTATAAATTTTTTTTTTTTTACTCTTATAAAATTTTTTTTTTTGAGGGGGGGCAATTGCCCCCCCTAGGAACCAAGTGGTTCCGCCTCTGAACAGTGGTCGGAGGGGACATAGTCGGCGGGTGACTAAGGCCTGAGGGACCGTATTTGGCGGTTGACGGTAGTCCGACGGATTGTAGTTGGAGGGCGACAGAGGACCGTTGTCGGCGGACAACAGTGGTTGGAGGGACACTAGTCAGCAAGCAACGTTGTTTGGATGGACCGTAGTTGGCGGGCGATAGAGATCATAGGTACTGTAGTCAGCGTGCGATAGATATTAGAGGGACTATAGTCGGCAAAGGACAGTGGTAGGATGGACTGTAGTTGGCGGAGGGACCATAGTCAGAGGTGCGAATGAGGTCGGATGGACTGTAGTTAGCGGGCGATGGAAGTCGGAGTGACTGTAGTTAGCGAGTAAGGAAGGTTGGAGGGAACTTAGTTGGCTGGCAATGGTGGTCGAATATACCATAGTCGACGGGTAATGTTGGTTGGATGGATCGTAGTCGGTGGGCGACAGTGATCAAAAGGATCATAGTTAGCTGGTGAAGGAGGTCAGACAGACCTTAGCGACGGGTGATAGAGGTCAGAGTGACTGTAGTTTGTGGGCGACGGAGGTAGGAGGGACGTAGTCGGTGGGCGACGGTAGTCGGAGGGATCATAATCGCAGGCGATGTTGGTTGGATGGAGCGTAGTCGGCGGGCGAAGGTGGTAGGAGAGACCGTATTTAGCAAGAGATAGAGGTCGGAAGAGCCGTAGTCGACATATGATGGAGGTTGGAGTGACTGTAGTAGGCGGGCTAAAGAAGTTGGAGTGAATGTAGTCGAGTGGCCGGACGGACCATAGTCGGTTGGAGATAGTGGTCAGATGGACTGTACTTGGCAGCCTGGAAGGAGCAGGTCTAGTGGCGGTCGATGGTTGGGTGAAAGTTCTTTGATGGTCGACGTCCGGGAAGTGGTTCGACGATGGTCGGACAGAAGTGCAACGGCGGTTTACGGCAGCATGGAAGTCTGATGGCCGATCGATGTTCCAACGATGGTCAGATGAAAGTCAGATAACCGTCAATGGTCAGATGGAAGTCCGGCGGCAATAAACTATCAGGTGGTGGTCCGACGATGGTCAAGTAGAAGTTTGGCGATGGTCGGCTGTCAAATGGAAGTCAGACGGTTGTTGGCAGCTGGGCGGTGGTCCGACGATGATCGGTGGAAGTTTAGCAGCCGTCGACAGCCGTGGGGATGGTTCAATAACAGTCAATGGAGGTTCACTGGTGGTGGTGTGCAGGAGCTTTGGAAGCTTTAAAGCTCTCTCTAATTTATGACTAAAAGTCCCCCCTCCCCCTCGTGTAGAGAGTGGGTGTCTTTTTATAGATTTTCGTGAGTGACACACCCTGTAAATATAGAGAAGATTCAAGGCAGGTTCGGAGTGCTCCATCAGACGATCCGTATTGATTCCTTCGATCATTGAGCATTTTTCAAGTGTTTAAAGGCCTTAATGATGTTGAAATTAAAGAATCCTAGGCCCATTTGATTCGTCTCTAAGAGCTGCTCAATTTGAATATAAACATGACATAATTGGATAAAATATTATCATACAGTTAATGCTTTGAACTTTCTAAATATGCTTCATACTCTTAATTTATACCCATTTGTGTTCGGATTAGATCGATTTTGGTTTCTGTTTGATAAGTTTAGCTAGACTATAGGTTTGCTGAAATCAGAGTTCATATTTTATTGCATTTAATTTCGGAAGTTTTCAACTTAAATATGTCTCAGGATTCGTACTCGATCAAAGTAATTTTTGATGATGTATTAGTTGCCCCGTTATATTTTTTCAACGTTGAATTTTGTAGAGACCAAAATTTTATTTTGATTTTAGCATTATGCAACGTTAGAGTGTTAATCAAAGCACAAAAAAAGGTAAAAAAAGTTTACCCCCAAACTTTTTTAAATTGCTCAAAACATATCATAGAGGCTATTTTGAGCTTCAAATTATCAAAATTGAGTCTGAAACATTGAAAAATGATTCAGGAGACTCAAAATCATTTAAATTATATATATATATATATATATATACACACACGTATTTTATCCTATTAATATTTTTCTCTTATTCCCTCCGAAGGAAGGCGGCTATAGTAGCCGCCTCAATAAGGCATGAAAGATAATTTTTTTAATAGTTAATTAATTTTATTAGTTAAACTATTAATCGAAGTATATTCTTTTTTGCCCCAAAAGAATTTCAAGAAAATTACAGAAAACTCTAAAAAATTCATAAATTTTTCTTGAAAGGAAATAATTAATTTCCTACTATTTATTTTATGTTTAAACAAAATTGTTTGTTAATGTTTCCTATTTAATTTTTTCAAAAAATAGGAATTATTTATTTTTTGGGTATTAAAAAATTCTTAAAATAATAAAGTTATTCATAAAAATTTTCCCCAAACATCCATTAAAAAAATTATAAATACCCCCGTTAGGGAGAGGACACTAGCTCCTTAAGCCGATCCAAAGATTTCCCTTGCAAATTGAGGGAAAATCGGACTAGCAAAAATTTTAAAGTTTTTGGCTTCAGCGATCAAGACATGTTACTCTTACGTTGGCATAGATCACTCCCGGTGGGGGGAAAATTATCCTGCAAGATTTAAAAAATGACAACAGGGATCAAAGCCCGATACTCTTACGTAGGCTCCAGTTCACTCCCAATGAGGGAATGTTGATCTACTTACCTTATACTTGATCCAATCCTCCACAAATCCTACTGAACCACTATAAATTCAGCACTGTTTTGGGATTTATGCTCAAATTCCTTGTACACTGCTTGAGACGATGCTCTGATAGTCAGTAAAAAGAGAACGAAGTTTAAACCTCGTTCAATTCATTGGTGGGTGACGATGGTCGAACAGAATGTAGTTGGCAGGCGATAGAGATTAGATTGGCTGTAGTCGGTAGACGATGGTGGTAGGAAGGACCATAGTCAGCGGATGAAGGTGATCGGAGAGACCATAGTTGTCGGGCAACGGAGGTCGTACAGATTGTAGTCGGCGGACGACGTTGATCGGATGTATTATAGTTAGTGGGTGATGGTGGTCGGAGGGACCGTAGTCTGCATGCGATGAAGATCGGACAGACCATAGTCGACGAGAGACGGAGGCCGAAGGGATCGGAGTTGGCGGGCGATGGTGGTTAGAGGGATCTTAGAAGGCGACTGATGAAGGTCGAACGTATTGTAGTCAACGGGTGATGGAGGTTCGAGTGATTATAGTTAGTAGGTGGAGGAGGTTGGAGGGACCAAAGTCGACGGGTAACAATGGTCAGAGGGACCATATTCATTATGCGATGGCGGTCAGAGGGACCGTAGTTGATGGGCGATGGTGATATGAGGGATCATAGTCGACAGGTTACATAGATCGAATAGATCGTAGTCGACGCATAATGGAGGTCAAAGTAACTATAGTCGGTGTGATATGAAGGTCGAAGGGAAGTAGTTGGTGGGCGACTGTGGTCGTAGGGACCGTAGTGGTGTCCGACGTTGGTCCGATGGGTCATCAGAGGGATCATAGTTGACAATTGATGGTGGTCGGAGAACCGTAATCATTAGGCGACGGTGGTTGATGGGAACATAGTCTGCAGGAGATAAAAATAGGAGGGATCGTAGTCGACGGGTGATGGAGGTAAAATGGATCATAGTTGGCGGGCAACAGTGGTAGGTGGGACTGTAGACGGTGGCCGACAGTGGTGAAAGAAATTCTAGTAGGTGTGCAACAGAGGTTGAATGGATTATAGTCGAAGGGTGACATAGGTCAGAGTGACTGTAGTTAGTGGACAAAGAATGTATGAGAGACTGTAGTCAGTGGGTGACGGTGGTCAG